GTACTGTGTATCGTGGTACTGTGGGTACTGTGTATCGTGGTACTATGGGTACTGTGTATCGTGGTACTATGGGTACTGTGTATCGTGGTACTGTGGGTACTGTGTATCGTGGTACTATGGGTACTGTGTATCGTGGTACTGTGAGCACTGTGTGTCAGTACTATGTGTACTGTGTGTTGTGTGTGTACTGTGGATAGTGTGCACTGTAGCACCGTGAGAATTAAATTGTGGTGCTGTGTGTACTATGTATCCTGGAACTGTGTGTTATGTTGTGGCACTGTGAGAACTACACTGTGGTATTCTGTGTACTGTGTATTGTAGTATCATGGATATTATAATTAATGCCATAAAACATAGTATATATGAATGACTGAATGCAGAACCGCTTTGTTTTGTAAACTTTCACTCAAAAATCAATGAAAGAGAAGAAAATAAACCATTATAACCTTGAAGGGGAGCGGGTGGGGAAGAACCCTGGTACACAGCCAGGGAAAACTCAAACATGTAAAAAATACAAGCACAAGACCATCAAGAGAAGAGAACGCAGGCGGCGGGAGGCGGGAGCTTCGAGACTCCGCACAGACTGCCTGGCCTGGTCCCTGACAAAGCAGTGGGGGCGCCGGGCCCGAGACCACCTGGGCCCTGCGGAAATACAGACGGCGTGATCACTCTTTGGGGTTAAAAACATGCTTTCCTGGCCTGATGTGATCACAGGACCATCTTTGTTGGGTCTTGACTTAATTGCTGAATTAGACAAGAACCCTGCTTAGGCATAAACGCAGAGTGACCATGTGACCCACCCCGGGCACCCAACACCTCTGCTCACCTGTCCCTCCCGTGGGAAAGCTGCCTTTCTGGGGGCAGGCAGAGAAGTGTGCAAACAGTCCAGCCCCTCTCCTCTCCCACAGAAAGCCCACCGGAGGCCCTCCACCCTCCCTGAGGGGCTGCCTCCAGGACTCCTCAGTGAAGACCCTCCCCACTGCCCAGCCAGGTCAGCACCTGGGGCTGGATGGCTGCCTGTCCAGACCCACTTCCCTGGCCTGCGCTGCCCCCCAGTGGCGGTGCGGCTGCAGCACACCTGTAGGCCTGCAGGAGGAAGATCTTGTAGACGCTGATGAAGACAGTCTGAAGATTGTTCACCTGGGGGGGAGAGAAACCAGTGAGCATTTCCCTCAACTGTTTCTCTGCTTTCTCAGGCAGCAGGAAAACAGAAGGGGGAATCGGCCTATCTGTGCCAGGGAGGCCTGTCCTTAGCCTGTACTGAGTCAAGCTCAGGCCACAATGGGGTTTGACCAACCCAGATGGAATCCAGAACAGAACACATGGGGTCCAGCCTGGCCCAAAAGGAGGCCCAGCCTGGCCCAACTAGGGCGCAGTCCATATGGAATCCAGCCCACCACATATAGGGTCCAGCTTGGCCCACAAGGAGGCCCAGCCCAGTCCAACTAGGGCCTAGTCCTTATGGAATCCAGACCAGCATATATGGGGCCTAGGTCTGTCCACAAGGGGGCCCGGCCTGGCCCAGTTGGGGCCCAGTCCATATGGAATCCAGCCCAGCACACATGGGGTCCAGTCCCCATCCATCCAGGAATACAGGGGTGCCATCCAGCCATATGGGGTCAAGCTCAGGCCACAGGGGGTCCAGCCTATCCCACACAGGGGGGCCAGCCCACATGGGGTCTGCCCTGGCTTTACCGGGTCTAGCTCAGCTCACACAAGGAGGGAGCCCAGCCCACCCACAGGACAATGGCAGGCTGGCTGTTGTGTTGGACCCTTGGGGTTGATGAAGATTGCTCACACCATCACCCCGTGGCATAGGTGTGCCCCTCCACCAGCCCTGACCTGCGTGTCCATTTCCACAGCCCTGAGCCCATTAAGCACCTGTGACCTTGCATCCTCTCAATGGAGAGGCCCAGGCCCAAGGGAGGACAGTTGGTGGCCAGGTTCAAGTGCATGGTCATGTGCATACTCATGCACACGGATGCACAATGTGGACATCAATGCACGCACGTGTATGCATGAACACCCATTCGTACCATCTACACACACATTCACACGCAAGCAGGCTCACATGTCCACACGCAGGCGCTTGACAGGTAAGCACGCACAGCTCCCAATTCCGGGCTACAGCACCTGGCGGTTCCGGAAGGTGCTCCGCCCCCGCTGCGGACGCGCTCACCTGCAAATCCAGAAACAGGCTGTGACACTTGAGCCTCAAGACCGCGAAGAGCTTGCGCCGCATGTTCCTCCCGGCCCTTACGCCGTGGTTGAAGACGAGGCTCGCTTTGATCGAGGTTGAGGCGTAACTGCAGAGACGGGGAGGGATGGAGCCCGTCAGACATGTTCAGCCACAGCAATGGACACGTGTCATCCCACACCACAGAGCACGTCATGACATCACACGAAGCGTGCGTGCACTGCTCAGTGTCACGCACACCACAGAGCACACCATGACATCACATAATGCATGTGTACTGCACAGCAGCAAACACAGAACATACCTCTACATCACATGACGCGTGGGTGCACTGCTCAGCGCCAAGCACACCACAGAGCACGCCATGACATCACACAATGCATGTGCACTGCACAGCAACAAACACGTATCACCACACACCACAGAGCACACCTCTACATCACACGACGCGTGCGTGCACTGCTCAGTGCCACGCACACCACAGAGCACGCCATGACATCACACAACACGTGCGTGCACTACTCAGTGCCATGCACACCACAGAGCACGCCTCTATACCACACAGCATGTGTGTGTACCACCCAGCACTAAACACGTGTCACCACACAACACTGAACGTTCCTCAACATCACACTACACATGTGTGCACTACTTACTCTGTGCCAAATGCATCACTGAACACGTCTCTACACCACATGGCACACATGTGCACTGCTCAGCACCAAGCACACCACTGACAGGGGAAGGGGGAGACTGCATCATCTCTCTCTCTCTCGTGGGGCCACCAGTGACTTCAAACCACCAACCTTTAGGTGACAGGCTGAGTGCTTTGACCATTACACCACCAGAGCACCACTAAACCAGAGTCTCTCAGCACCATCAGCACCGCCTACACACTACGCTCACTGTGTTGTTAGGAGCCGTCACGTTAGCGCCCACGCGGAGTGACCCCGAGGAACAGAGCTGAGCCCTGTGCCCCAGCCCCTGCCGTCCTCACCACTCCAGCTCACTGCTGTTGTCACTACGTCATTCTGCCTCAGGGAGGGTCTTCCTCCCCTTCTCTGACCCTCCATCCACTCTCCCAGCACGATGTCTTTCTAAACTGGCCCCTCCAGACAACACGCCCAAATCACACATCCAAGACAGACGCAGCATGCTCTGTCCACACCACCGAGGGCAGCTTCCTGAGCACTGCTAGCCCGAGAACATGTATGTCGTCACCACACGCTCTGAAATCACATGAACGACAGAGTAAGACTGCACCTCGGTGACACCAAACAACCTACAAACTGTGTATCGATGTTGTCCATCATTTACCACCATAAGGCATCTTCTCAAAGCATTTGAACCGCTTAAGAATCTCTGAAAAATCTCTCACTCAAAGGTGTACTGCAATGGGAAAGTCTGCTGTTAGGGACCTCTCCAAAGTACTGAAGAGCAATGGTGTCTCTCTGGAGACTAAGGTGCATCTGATACAGGCCATGGTCTTTGCAATCACTTGTTATGCATCAGAGAGTTGGACAATGACCAAGGAGGATAGAAGGAGAATTGATGCCTTTGAGCTGCAGTGCTGGAGAAGAGTATTGAGAATACCATGGACTGCTAGGAAAACAAACAGATTTGTCCTGGAAAGGGTTAAACCGGGTGGCTCCTTGGAGGCAAGGATTCTGAGGCTCCTTCTAACATACTTTGGACATGTTGTGAGGAGAGAGACCGGTCCTTGGAGAAGGACATCACGCTTGGGAGGGTGGAGGGACAGCGCAGGAGGGGAAGGCCCTCTATGAGGTGGATTGATTCAGTGACTGGGGTAATCGGAATGGGTGTGTCAGAGACAGTGCGATTGGCACAGGACAGAGCAAAATTTAGAGCTATTATATAGGGTCTCTATGAGTCGCAAGCGACTCGACGGCACATAACAACAACAACAACATTCCCTAAAGGGAAATTTTCAGAAATGGAATGACTAATACACACACACACATACTGGAAACTCGGTGGTGTAGAGGAGCTGCACTGCTAATGTCAAGGCCACGCCCCTCTGACCTCTAATCCACCATGTGGTCCTCAGAAGAAGGACAGGAATCTCCCTGTGTGATTTATAGCCCTCGAATACCTGCCACATGGTCAGCTCCGAGTCTGTTTTGACTCAGTGAGAAGATCTACATCAACAGTTTAAGAGCTGTGGTCTGAATAAGCGGCTTTCCGGGAACTCTTCCACTGTTGCTGTCAAGTTAACCACGTGTCCCAGCGAGCCCATGAACCACAGATCCGAGCCCTGGCCAGTCCTATACTATCCTCGTCATCTCAGCCACGCTCACGTCCACTGCTTCAATCACTGTGTCAATCCATCTCATTTTGTCCTGAGACCGTTTTCTAACCCTAACACCAAAAACACCCTTGAAGGCTTCTTAAAACCAAGCAGTAATTGAGCTTAACTAATAAAGAAGTTACCCATCCACAGCCTGCATTATGAAGATGACACAACTTAACTTGAATGTGAGGAGGATGTGAAGCACTTACTGCAGAGGATCAAAGGGTACAGCCTTCAATATGGATTGCAACGCAACGTCAAGTTGACAAAAATCCTCTTTCCTGGGGGACATCATGAAGGATGCAGACAAGATTGAAATAGTCAATGATTTCATCTTACTTAGATTCTCAATCAACACCCTTGGTAAGGAGCCCAGGAAATCAACACCCAGGAGCCAGGAAATCAAGAGATGCATTGCACTGAGCCAAGTTCACTGTCAGGAATCTTTCCAAATTACTGAGGAGCAATGATGTCAGTGTGAAGACTAAGGTGTGCCTGACTTAGTCCATGGTCCTTTCAATCCCTTGCTATGCATCTAAAAGGAAGACAATGAATGATGACAGAATAATTTTATGCACATGAGTTGTAGTGTTGGAGAAGACTGCCGACTATCCCAAGGACTGCCAGGAAAATCGTATGTCTTGGGAAAAGTGCAGCCAGAGTGCTCCTTGGAGGCAAAGACAGTGAAGCTTCTTATCACATACTTTGGGCATGTTGCTAGGAGAGGCTATTCCTTAGAGAGGGGGACATGATGGTTGGAAAAATAGAGGGACAGCAAAGGAAGGGAAGACCCTCGGCCAGGTGGAATGACACAATCAGTGCCTGCACCAATAGGTTCAAGTGGGTCAGAGATGATGAGAATGGGACAGGGTAGCACAGGGTTCAGATCTGTCATTCACGGGTCGCAGTGAGACATACTCAACTCATCAGCACCTCACAACAACAAGATTAAAGAACATCTGTCCTGAGGACTGGGCTTTCTTAAGAGTCATCTTCCCGGCTCAGGGCGAGCCGTCGCGGCCCTCTGCCCGGGGTGGGCTGCCCTCGGCCCCCGGCTCGGGGCGAGACATCGCGGCCCTCTGGGTGAGCTCCTCAGTCCCCAGACTGTGCCTTCTGACCCCTGGGTGGGAAGGAAAAAAAAAGAATACCTAGGGTATCCAGAGAATGTTACCTAGGCCACCTTCTGCCACCCTCCCCCCCAGTAAACCTGAAAGCAACACCCTCAAAGTCCTTCTATTTGTAACTCACAAGTTTGTTCTCTTTAGGTTTGCTCCCTTTCCTATAGGTAACCTTAACACTGAGTTTTACTCCAGAATTGACCCTGAACCCAGTACAAGTGACAAAAAGGAAATACAACTGATAGCTAAGGAAGCAAAGGAGGATGGAGCCTCTGGGTTCTACCAGACATCTTCACTGGACCCACCTGGGAAAACACTTTGCAGTCCAGAGGGGAACAAATGACAGGAAAACATCTTCTAACAGAGCAAGAAGGCAAGCAGCTTTAACCCAAGACCACCAGTAAGGTGATAAAGCATCCTCCCGTCCCCCCTTTACATCTATGCCCCTGTTCAGCATGAAGAAGCCAGAGAGTCGGCATCCAATTCCCAAATCAATAAGACAGTTGGTTTAATTACCATTGGAAAATGCTTGTCATTCCTCTGTAGCATCTGGTCCCCTCTGGACCCTCATCATTTCCTTCACCTGCTCCCCCCACCGACCAAACTGTGCAGCTCTGCAACTGCATCCTGGCCCATCCTCACCCTTCTGCCCCCAACCCTCACCTTCTTGTACCCCCAATATGTTTTTCCCAATTTAAAAAAAAAAGTCATCTTTATAGGATCAGACTGACAATGGCAGTTTGTCAGGCTGAACAAGAAGCTTAGAGGATAGTGAGCTGCCGCGAGGCGGGGAGGAGCAACTGAGAGGAGACGACTGAGGACCCGTCACTGAACTGACAAACTGCTGAGGAGGCGAATGGTTCTGTCATTCAGCAACAAAACGATAATAAATTAGCCAAAAGACAAGAACCATAAAAGACAGGCTGCATTAGCAGTTAAAAACACTCAAGTGAACTCTGACTCTGTCTCTGGTTCCTTCTTTCAGAGAGATTTCCAGAAGTGGAATTACTGGGGAGAAAAGCCATGAACATTTTCAGGATCGTGTGGGCCATATGAGAGCCTGGGTGGCGCAGTAGAAGGAGTGACGGTGCTGTGTTGTGCGTGTTGGGTTACTACTTAAAAGGTCAGTGGTTTGAATCCAGCAGCAGCTCCACTGGAGACACATGGACAGTCTCCTCCTTGTGTAGACTGACAGCTGCAAACACTCGAGGAATCATTGCGAGCTGGAATCATCTCGAGGGCAGGAGCTTTGGGTTTCGGGGCCTGTGGTGGCACCACCTATTAAACGCTGGACCGCTAACTAAAAAGTCAGCTGAATGAAAAGTTGGTGGTTCGAACCCACGAGCCACCCCTCGGGAGAAAGGTGTGACCATTGCTCTGGTGATGACTTAACATCTTAGAAAGCCTACGGGACCTATCTCCTGTCCTCTGAGGCCATCAGGAATGAGAACTGACCCGAGGGCTGAGAGCTGGCTCTGCGTTTTCTGTAAATAAGCTGCTCTCTAGAAAGGCTGTGCCAGTCTGCCCTCCGGCGGGTGCCTCTCCCTCACCCACCTCCACCCAAGTTCAGAAAACAGGCTGCAGCCTCAGAGGGACTCGGGAGCTCTGGTGGCCTAGCGGTAAGAAGCTGCACTGCAATCTCAGAGGCCATGGTTCGAATCCACCAGCTGCCCTGTGGGAGAAGGATGGGCAGTCTCCTCCAGTGTGATTTACTGCCTCTGAAAACCCACTGGAGGGTCGCTGTGGGTCTGTTCCTTCTAACAGCAAACAACAACAACACTGGCATTTCAAACTGTGCTGCTTCATACCTAAATCAGCGAAGCCTCTCTGCATTTGCTTATTTCACATCCATACTCTTCTACAAACCATCTGAGCGTCTTTTTCTGGACTGGTGTTTGTCAAACACCTGTGTCCAATTTGTCGGGCACTTTCCAGAAAGGGCCACAGAAGGGTGAGTCCCAGCAATGGGAGAAGCTAATCAAACAGCCACATAAAAATCTCACCATTGAGGTCTAATACTGCATAGTTCCACTGCTGTAAAATGGGACTGACATCGGGGTTGGGGGGAGACTGAGAAAGACGGAATACATTATGTATACTGCATTGAAACAGATGAGGGAGAGAACTATTTAAAAGGGATAAATGATTAGGTATTATTGTCATGACAGGAGTCCAGAATGAAGGCTGTATAGTGGAGTGGACTTGAGGGGCAGGATTGTGTAACAATGAAAGAATTTTACTTTTCAAAGAGAAGAGCGACCTGGGGGTAGGGGTGGGCAGGGAGAAAAGTGCAACAACGAATAAACAGAAACTCAAAGTCTCTGTAAATTTTCATTAAAATTGTTAATAATAATAAAAAATGTCAGCATTGTTAAAGTCATGCAGTGTCTCCAAGACCCACTGACACAGGCTGCAGGGTGCTGCGCTGTCCTCCAGAGCCGAGGACCATTCCCCTCCGACTCACTTCATCCCCAAGAAACAGACACTTCTGTGTGCCCCAAGAAGAGGTGACACTCAGTGCGAAGGTGGGTCCCGCCCCAACCTTCCATGACTGGGGAGCACTGTCTCACCAGACGCAGGAATGGGACTCGCCCGCCCTGACAGAGGTGTGGCTCCCCACCTGGACAGGTGCACATACCTAGAGTAGTCACAGAAGACCTCCAGGGTCCTGGTGTCCAGCAGCAGGCCACACCAGGGGAACAGGCAGTGCGCGGGCAGCTGGAGGGTGGCCGCGTGGCCCGGGCAGTCGTCCACGGGGAAATTCACCGCCGTCTTGCATGGGTTGATCGTGCAGCCGTATTCGGGCACACCCTGGACCAGGGTCCTAGACCAGAGGGCAGTGTGAGCCAACAGGGAACACTCAGGACATGTCACAGGAAACACGGAGGGGACGCCCAAACCAGGCAGGACTCCGGGGAGGAAGCATGACCAGTTCTGGACATGCTCACGACTCCCCGTGTCCCCAAAGGTGGGTACTGCCCTCACCCCACAGGCATTTGTGGTTGCTGCTGTTGTTAGGTGCCATCGAGTGGAGCATGATTCACAGCAACCCAGGAACAGCAGATCAGAACCCTGTCCTGTCCTGTGCTAACCTCATCATCTCTGACACACTTGAGCCCATTGCTGTGGTCACTGTGTCAACCCATCTCATTGGGGGTCTTTCTCTCTTTTACTGACTCCCCCCACCTTTCCAAGCATGATGTCCATTCCCAAGGAATAACCTCTCCTAACAACGTGCCCAAAGTGTGTGAGATGAAGCTTTGTCATCTTTGCCTCCAAAGAGCACTCTGGCTGCACCTTCTCCAGGACATACCTGTTTGTTCTTTTGGGGGCCCGTAGGATATTCCCTTCTCCAACACCACAAGTCAAAGACATCAGGCAGTTAATATCTGCCTAATTCACAAATGCCTTTACATAGTCGCTAAAAAACAGACAAACCTTCTTCTGGTATTCTCTGCTCTCAGCCAGGATCCATCTCACATCAACAATTATATACCTGGTTCCACAGTCTCTTCTAAACTAAGCTTGAACTCCCTTCTTTTTCCCCCCAGGTTGAGTCCCGTCGAATCAGATCCGACTGGCACAGAAGGAGACTGTCCTTCCTTCTCCAGCAGAGCATTTGGTGGATTTGAACTGCATACCTCTGGGATTGCAATGCAGCTTCTTGCCACAAGGCCACTAGAGCTCCTTTAAGCTTGAACTTCTGGTGGTTCCCTGTCAATGTACCGTTCCAGTCATTTTTGGATTATCTTCAGCAATATTTTACTTATATGTGATATTAATGATACTCTTTGATAATTTCCACATGCTTGTGGATCACCTTTCTTGAATATAGAAACAAATATAGACTTCTCCCATTCAGTCAGCCAGGCAGCTGTCCTCCAAATTTTCTGGTATAGACTGGTGATCCATCAATTAACTTAAACATATCCAAACTGTGTCCCGTGGATTCCTGGGACCTTCTTTTTTGCCAGTGACCTAAGTCAGTGCAGCTTGAACATCTTCCTTTCTTACCACTGGCTCTTGATCATATGCACTTCCTGATATGTTTCAGTGTTGGCAAATTCCTTTTGGTACAGAGATTCTGTGTATTATTTCCATTTTCCTTTGATGCTTCCTGGGTCAGAGCATCTCAATACTTCAACTCAAGGCTTATTTTTCAGTTCTTTGAGCTTAAGAAACACCAAGCAAGTTCTGCCCTTTTTACCAGAAGGGTCACCCATGGGGGACAGGTTTCAGAAGAGTTCCAAATTAAGACAGACTAGGAAGCAGGATGGCCAAACTGTGACGAAACAGGCCTTCACAAGCCCTGAAGCATGAACAACAGAGAAGCCTGGGTGGCTCTACCGTTAGAGGTAGAATTCAGACAGGAAGTCATTCAAATATGCGGAGAAACAGCTGCAACCAACCATTAATAACTGGAACGTAGAACATAAAATATATGAATGTAAGAAAACTAGAAGATGTTATAAAGGAAATGGAATGCACAAAGACACCAGGGAATGGAAATGGACTGCATGGGCCACTTTGAATGCGACCACTACTACGCCAGGGAGGAAAAACAGAAGAAGAAAGAAAGGCGCTGCGTTCATAATTCAAAGGACAATTTCAAGGTCTACCCTAAAATGCAGTGCTGCAAGTATAGTATTATATGCATACACACACAAGGAAGTCCTGTTAACATGACTGTTACTCAAATACATGTAGCAACAGCTAAGGCCAAAAGGGTGGATCAGAGACCGGGGAATAAAGCCCAAAAGCATAAAGTTCATCAGAGAAAAACTGGGATCAATCTTAGAAGGCCTAGACTATGGCATAAAGAGGCTGCCAACTACAGCCAGAAATGCACAATCTGGAGAGGATAAAACTGATGAATGAGACTTTCTAAAGATTAAACCCCTGTGCGCATCAAAACCATTTTCCAACAGAGTGAGAAGAACACCTACTGACTAGGGGAAAACATTTGGCAATACCATCTCAGAAAAGGGTCTCACATCAAAAGAATACTAGAGGGCCCCCACAAGAAAAAGATTGACAGCACAATCACAAAACAGGCAAAAAGAGGAAACGGAAGATGCCTAACAATTTCCACAACCTGAAACTGATTAAACAGGCAATCAAGACGCATTAATGATTACTGGTGCCTGGAATGTACAAGTCGGAAACAACGTGGAAGGAATGGTAGTCAGAAAGTACCAACTCGGTGACAGAAATGCAGGGGGTGGAGAGATGATTAAGTTTTATACATTTAATGATTTATTCATTGCAAACACTTTAACAAACACAAAAGGTGACTTGACACATGGACCTCACCTGATGGAGTGCACAGTAATCAGACCGACTCCATCTGTGGAAAGAATCACTGGAGAAGCTTGATAGGAATGTCAGAACCAGACCATGTGCTGACTGTTGTAAAAAGCCATCACTCACTCATGTGGAAGTTCAAACTGAGACGGAAGAAGATTTCAAAAAAGCCACAGGAGCCAAAATGGGACCTGGAGTCTATGCCACCTGAATCAAAAACTCATGTTAAGAACGAGTTTGAGGCATTGATCCCAAATGATGAAAGTCCAGAAGAGCTGTGAGATGAATTCAAGGATATTATCCCTGAAGAGAGCAAAAGGTCACTACAAAGACAGAGCAGAGAGAAAAAACCAAAATGCAGGTCAGAAGAAACTATGAAAATTGCATTAGAATGTTGAAGTAAGACAGCCGAACAGGAGATTTCAAAGGGAAGACAAAGCAAAATATAATGAAACATGCAAAAATCAGAAAGGAAGTGTGTCACGGTTGTATCCTTTTTCCAGATTGAGTCAATGCTGAGCAAATAATGTGTAAAGCTGGAGTTTATGAAGAAGACTGTGGCCTCAGGATTTCCGGGAGACTCATCAACAACCTGCATTGTGCAAGATGATACAATCTTGCTTTCTAAAAGTGAGGAGGATCTGAGGTACTTGTTGAGGAAGATCAAACACTACAGCCTTCAATACTGACTACATATCCAAACATATTCACATCCACAAAGATCCTTACCACTGCGCCAACATGCAACATCATGATAGACGGCGAAAAGAGTGAAGCTGTCAATTATTTCCTCTTACTTGAACCTACAGTCAACATCCTTGGTATCAGCAGTCAGATCAGGAGATTTGTTGCTTTGGGCAAGACCGCTGAGAGGGACCGCTCCAAAATACTGAAGAGCAATGACGTCACTTTGAAGACTAAGGTGCATCTGATTCAAGCAATGGTCTTTTCAATCACTTGCTAAACATCTGAGAGCCGGACAATGAATACGGATGACAAAAGAACTGATGCCTTTGAACTGTGGTGTTGGAGAAGAGCACTTAATATTCCATAAAGTGCCAAATAACCTCAAAAGATACATCTTAGAAAAGTGCTCCTTAAAGGCAAAGATGGAAAGGCTCCCATACTTCGGCCATGTCGCTAAGAGAGGTCATTCCTTAGAAATGGACATTTCGTCTTGAAAGGTGAAGGGTCGGCAAAAAAGAGGAAGGCTCCCCGTGAGGAAGACCAATATGGCCTACAGCAATGGGCTTAAAGGTGTTTTTCATACGGTCACTATGAATCATACTCAATTTGATAGCATTTGCCAACAATACACAGACTGGATCAGAGGACGCCAGTTCCTGGGGAGTGTTAGCGAGCTGTGCCCACTAAAATCTATGTTGAAATCCTAACCGTGTCCCTGCAGACGAGAAGTCCCAGGGACGTGGCTGCTAAGGGAGAGGTGAGCAGTTCAAATCCACCAGCTGCTCTGAGGAAGAAAGGTGGGCAGTCTCCTCCCACAAGGATTTACAGCCTTGGAAGTCCATCCGAGGGTCTCATGAGTCAGGACCAAGCCGGTGGCTGTGGGCAGGTGCAGGTTTATTGCCTGCAGACAGGATCTTGTTTGGAAACAAGAGCTTCCCTCTGAGTCAATGAGGTGTTCCGGAGCAGAGCAGAATGAAACCAAAACCCAAGGCCACTCTGTCTCTGGAGAACAGAGAAATGCCCACAGGGCGTCCAGGGCTGGAAGCTTCCAGGAGGCAGACCACCACGTCTGTCTCCTGTGGAGCGCCAGGTGGACACGAACCACCGACCTTCCAGACAGCAGCCAAGCACATCGTCACTGGTGTACCCAACTCCTGGTTACTAACAGAAACGGAGTTAACAGTGCAGACTCTAAGAATCTGATGAGAAACACAGGTACCTTAGAAAGGTTTTAGCTTGTTCCAGGTGAGGTGTCACCAGCAGAAAGTCGTCAATCAAACGCAGGAGCAGCCTGAAAGGGGAGGGGGGGGAAAGTGAGCCATGTTTGGTTTTTAGCTGTTCCATAATCCCTGTCCCAGAGGCTGGGGGCCTCTGAGCTGTGGTGTTAGAGGAGAGTGCTGATGATGTCATGTGCTGTCAAAAGAGCAAACCGGTCTGGGAGGAGGTACGGAGAACATGATCCCAGAATGCTCCCTGGAGGAGGCGCAGTGAGAGTGCTCCCTGGAGGAGGCGCAGCCAGACTGCTCCCTGGAGGTGCAGCCAGAGTGCTCCCTGGAGGTGCAACCAGAGTGCTCCCTGGAGGAGGCGCAGCCAGAGTGCTCCCTGGAGGGAGCGCAGCCAGAGTGCTCCCTGGAGGAGGTGCAGAGAGAGTGCTCCCTGGAGGAGGCGCAGCCAGAGTGCTCCCTGGAGGAGGAGCAGAGAGAGTGCTCTCTGGAGGCAAAGATGATGAATGAAGCTTCATCTCACATCCTTTGGCCATGTCATCAGGAGGGACCATCCTTGGAAAAAGATATCATGCTGGGAAAGGTGGAGGGTGACAGAAAAGAGAGAAGACCCTCTACAAGACGATGAAATGGCAGTAACAACGTGCTCAACAGATGGCGAGAATGGCTTGATCTGTGGAAGGGTGCAGGGCAGGGCAAGGTTCTGATCTGTGGCTCACAGGTTGTCAGGGGTCCTCATTGACTCACAGCACCTAACGACAAAAGGGGCCTGAATACAGGAAAAAATGCCATATTTGAACTCACAGGGACAAGAACAAAGTGCCACCAAGGTCTTCAAGTGAGCTGAAATTTTAACGGACCCATTCTGCGTTTAATTTCTCACACTTCAGCCCAGGACTGGGGAAAAGACACATGAGCACAGGCAGGGCATCATCTGGACAAGTGACAAGTAGAGACACCTCCACACCAGGCCAGGATAC